CTGACTGACTATCCAGCTAGCTAGGGGTGGGTGTGCATATTACTGGGAGTGAGGCCCACCCCTGGGCGCTGCAGAACTGCATAATGAGCATTTTCAAGCCTACAGGAAAGTTGGGAGGTGTACAGCAAGCACCCACAGGCTCCCTGTGTACACTCCATGGCCAGCAGGCCACCTAATCTGCTCTGGTCCCTCCTGGCTGAAGCCTCCAACTGCTGGTTCCCTCTGGGCTCCAGGTGCACAGTTATCACCCAGGAATGTCTCCACCTTGGGAACCCATAACCTTCTCTTGGTGGCTGGCTGTATCCAGGCTCAGATTTACAGCACCACACCACTGTTAGGAAAAGCAGAGTCTCCTTAGCCTTTGTGTGTTTTTGTTTTGCTCTGTTTGTCAATTCTTGGTCTGGGGAGACAGAGCGGTCAATATAATGCTTACCACACAAGGATGAGGACCTGAGTTTATGCCCACAAACCCACATAAATGTCCATGCATGGGCCAGTGAGAGATAGCTCAGTGGGGGAAGGCACTTTCTGTCAAGCCCAAAGACCTGAATTTGATCCCTGAGAACTAGAGAGTAGAAAGAGAGAACCAACTCTTACAGTTTGTCATCTGACCTCCACATGTGCTCTGGGGGGGGGGGCATGTGTATCTACACATACACACAATAAATAAATAAATAAATAAATAAATAAATAAATAAATGTGATTTAAGAAATTTTGAGCCAGTCTTCCTAGTGCTGGGAATTGGAGACAGATGGAGCCCTGGGGCTTGCTGGCCAGCCAGCCTAGGATAACAAGTGTACTCCAGGCCAATGAGAAAAGCTGTCTCAAAAAATAAGGTAGGCAGGGCGTGGCAGCACACACCTGTAATCCCAGCAATCTGTAGACAGGCAGGCAGATCTCTGTGAGTTCAAGACCAGCCTGGTCTACACAATGAGTTCCAGGATAGCCAGAGCTACACAGCGAACCCCTGTCTCAAATAATTGATAATAATGTAAATTGTTCTTGAGGGATGACACCCAAGTATGACCTTTGACTGTCACACATACATGTAAGTACGCCTGCACACACACACACACACCTGCATGCATAGACACATACCCACCTCACAGACACAGATCTCTTCTTGAGATCCCCAGGGAGTCAAGCTCTACTTGTGACTATCAGGAGCTGGACATTGAGCTCAATGATTGGCTGGTGGACATTCATAGAGGTCTTGTGCTGTGGCTTTTCTTGTCCCGCCTAAGCCCCAAATGAACACACAGAGATGCCATATTAAGTATTAAACTGTTGGCCAATGGCTTGGGCTTCTTACTGTCTAGCTCTGTCTTAATTATTAACCCATTTCTATAAATCTATGTATTTTCATGTCGCCTTATCTTACCTGAGAATTCCCGGACCTGTTTCTCCTTTGGCGGCCTACAGGGTGACTGTCTTTGGCATGCTCCCTCTGCCTACATTTCCCAGAATTCTCCTTGTCTCCTAGCCCTGCCTATCTTCTTGTCTTATTCATCAACCAATAAGAGAAACATATATACAGAAGGACATCCCCCATCAATCTTGATCCAGTGGGTGTCTAACAGGAACCATTTTCTTAGAAATTCATTTTTTGTGCATTGATGTGAAGGTGTCAGATCCCCTGGAGTTGGCAGTTACAGTTGTGAGCTGCCATGTGGGTACTGGGAATTGAACCTGGGTCCTCTGTAAGAGCAGCTAGTGCTCTTAACCGCTGAGCCATCTCTCCAGCCACCCCAGAAGCCATTTTTGAACCATGCTCTTTTGGTCTCTCAGTTATCCCATCTTGCATACATTTTCCTGTAGTCACTTTGGTTGGCTGAAGAAGTCTAGTTCATTAGGTTGATGTCAACTTTGATTGAAGTCAAATCTCTTTCCTCCCTCTGAGTATGCTGGACCCCTATGTCCCTGGCCTGGTGTCTTACCTTCCATCCCAGCATGAAGGAAGGATGGCAGGCTGTAGTTTCACACTGGGATGTCTCTCCCTGTTCTCTGGGTTCCAGGCTCTTTTCCCTCAGATGAATGGAGAATAAAGGTTCTTCCAGCCTTCTGCTGCCTCATCTCAGTGGAGAAAGCACCAGATGCCATGACAGACCCCTCTCTATCTGAGGTCATGGCCTCCACCTACTTAGCCAGCAGGAGCCCCCACTAGCCATAACCATGTTGACAACATAGGCGTGTGTCCTTCCCTGGGGTCTCCATGTCCACTGCAGTTCCCATCACACAGGCTGGTCTCTGTCGAAGCATAAATCTGAGCCGAGCAGAGGCATACACTCACACCCATTCTTCAACAATGAATCCTAGATGCTCGCATCTGGCTCTTACATAGGAAAAGGACATCCAGGCCTCTCCCCCAGGGCCTGGGGAGGAGCCCTGAAATGAGTATCAGAAATCAACTCCTCCTCCTGCACCCCTGCAGTGGCCAGCAGAGGCGGGAGACCTGAGACTAGGCTGAGAGGCAGGTGGGGGCCTGGCAGGCTCAGTTCTGAAGTCCTCAGATATTTAGCCCCCATTGTGGGTGGCTCCCAGGATGTGACACATTGTACATTTAATTCTTCTTTATTCTCAGTGGTTCTTGTCTCCAACTCCTGAGCAAGTGGAGACCACAAATGACTGTGTCCGAGCCACCTTGCCCAACAGCCCTAAAGATAAACCCAGCAAGTGACGCTCTCAGAAGTAAGTTTGCATGGAATATTTGAGACAGAACTCTTCCTCTGGGAAGAAGCATTGGTTGCTGTCATTAAACAAAACGTTGAGCCCCTGAGGTGAGCGTGTTGAGTTAAGGTGGTCAACAATGGCTCCCACCTTCCTTTTCTTCCTCCCAGAGGAGCTTATTTCTGTTTGTCAGCTTCTGGGGAGCTGAGAGTAGCCACAAGTGGCTGCTAAGCTAATACTGTGCTTCCAAGCCCAGTATGATGCACTGGCTGGCTGTCACTGGAACCACACGTGTTCAGATAGCACACACTCCCTAGTTCACATCAGGGTGCAGCTGGTATGGCTGGAGCCTGGCAGGGCCACAGCCTAAGGGAGAAGGGCTGTCTAATGCCTAAATGGCATGGGGCCCAGATATATTTAAATGTTTAAGAGCATTGGAAATTTGGTTTCTCCTAATTGATTAAAATGCCATTTTTTTTTCAACTCAGAACAAGTGTAAAGTAGAGCCATTCCCAGCATCCTTGGATTCCTTCCCAGAGCACTGTAACCTATAACCCAGCCTCATTCTCCTATGGGGCTCTGCACTGCACTTGCCCAGGCATGGCTCATGTGACTTGACAAACTCCAAATTAGTGGCTCTGCTCGGAGGTCTCACAGGCTGTATCCAGACCAATCTGCTTGCTCTGAAATAAGCACAAACTAAACTCAATCATTATTTCTCTCTCTCTCTCTCTCTCTCTCTCTCTCTCTCTCTCTCTCTCTCTCTCTCCCTCTGCATAGCAACACTAGCAGCCCATTGTAACACAAAAAATAAAAGACCTAGAGACAGACATTGGGATTCAAGCTTCAAGCTGAAGATCAGAGAAGCAAAGCAGCCAAGCCAGTAGATCTTAACTATACCAAGCTGAAATGGCTAATCCTGTATCCACAAATCCTCAGAGGCAAAAGGCTCTGAATTCCTGTCTCCTCCTCCTCACATTCCTTTCTCCACCCAGCCATATCCTCCTGTCTCCACCTCTCTAGTGCTGGGATTAAAGGCGTGTGATCCCAGGTGCTGAGGTCACCTTTGTGTGAGCTGTTTCTTTTAGGACTGGATCAATTTTGTATAGTCATTGTTATGTTTTTGTTTAAATTAGATATAAAGAAGAAAGAGGAGCCTGAAGATGAGACATGTTGACTAGTTTATTATAAGACATATTAAGCAGTTTATTATAAGGCCAGGTAGAGTAGGGAGACTAAGAGAGAAGAGGAACAGGGTAAATGGCTGACCGCCATGTCCAGTCGCCATAGAGAGGCAGAGCTTGTAGGTGAGAGAGAGCCAAGAAGAAACAGAGAGGGAGTAGAGCAGGAAAGTTGGGACTTTTAAAGGGAAGACTGCGCATGCGCACTGAGGTTCCAGGCATGCCCAGAGTCCTCACGCAGGCCGTAATGCGTGGCAGGTGATGTGGTGATGAGGTAGCACGTTTTCCTGTGCGTGCCCTGACAATAGTCAGGGGGTGAGGTCTGTCTCTTAAAGAGATATTGCTGATCAGCATTAAAGCCTGAACCTTTCAGTCACTATGGCCTTTAACTAATAGAGATCCATCTACCTCTTAATCCTGAATCCTGGGATTAAAGATGTGTACCACCACCACCTAGCTTCTATAGTTTACTAGTATGGCTGATTTGCTATTTTGATCTCCAGTGGCTTTAATAAATCATAAACAATGTATCACCACAGCCCACACTCTCTCTCTGCATAGGAACAATATCAGCCATTCTCTCTCTCTCTCTCTTTCTCTCTCTCTCTCTCTCTCTCTCTCCCTCCCTCCTCTCCCTCTCTCTCTCTGTGTGTGTGTGTGTGTGTATGTGTGTGTGTGTAGCTCTCTATAGTTTCTTGTGGTTGTTTTTCCAGTTTTGAGTGATTATGAAAACTGTCAATCACCCTGCTATAGAGGGATTATTGGACTTCTATTTAGAAACTAAAAACCAACCAAGAAACAGGGAACAAACCCTGTTTTCCTATAGGTGTGGGCTGTCTTTCCTCTGGCTGAGCTATAATCCCCGAGGTTGGATGCCCAGCCTGGTTTCTGTGTGCACACAGGACTGGTGTTTGTTACCTGAGCACTTGCTTCCCTCGGCTCTGCTGGTCACAGATGAGGTCGCCTCTTACCCATCAGCCTCCCTGCTCCAACAAATGCAAGCAGGGCAGAGGATAGAAGAGTTGACTGGGGCGAAGTGTCAGGGTCCAAGTACTTAAGAGTAACTAAAAGAGATGTCACTGGCTGGAAAGCAAGTGCCTGGCTCCTGGTGAGCCACCAGATCCCAAGGACTGTCCAGTGCCCACCCAGACATGGACATAAGAGGCTGCACCTGGCTGCTGCTGCTGCTGCTCCTGCAGGTAGGTGAGCTGGGTGGATGCCAGGAGCTGTGTGTTGCATAGGTGGGTTTTCGTATTCCAGGCTAAAGTAACTTGGCAGGGTAATAACCCAACTGAACTTGGTGAGAAGCAGGTGTTCTGCTGAGGCCGGGTTCTGTCCCTCTTTGGAGTAATACAGGCATGTGGGGCTTCAGAATTAGATAAACCTGGGGTTGAGAGCCTGACCTTACAAGGAAGTAGGGGGCAGCTGAGGGACTTGATACCAATTTATGAAACACACGGTTTCAGGTTAGATTGTGTCAATATAAACATTGTTTCCTTACAATACTTCTACCCCCACCTTAGAGTGCCTGAGGAAATCTCAGCAGTTTGTATTAAAGACCAACTGGATGGAGCAAACCAGGAGAGGGCACTACATAATCCCAGTGTACGCAGGATGAGAAAACAGGGGCCACCAGTGGGCAGCCAGTATCCTGTGTCCTAGTGGGCAGCCAGTGTCCTGTGTCCAGTGGCAGTCAGTGTCCTGTGTTCCAGTGGCAGTCAGTGTCCTGTGTTCCAGTGGCAGCCAGTGTCCTCTGTCCCAGTGGCAGTCATTGTTACAAGGGATTGTTGAGTGTAACCTGCTGGATTTACTTTCTGTTAGTGAAAAGAGAAAATTGTATCTTCCTATTTTAAAAATTAATGTTTTAAGTTAGCATTTGAAACTATTGGTTTCATCTTGGCATTTTCATATGTGCTCTGTTCTTTTTCATCCTGCCCCCCCCTCCTGTTGTCTCTTCCTCCCACCTCACGAACCTCATTCCAATTTCATGTCACCCATATCCCAGTGCCCCTCCCAAGATTGCTTCTCATTCTAATTGAATCACACCCCACACACACACCCACACACACCCACACACACCCACACACACCCACACACACCCACACACAAGAGAGAGAGACAGAGAGACAGAGAGACAGAGACAGAGACAGAGACACACCACCACACATGCACACATACACCAAAGAGAGACAGAGACAGACACATCACACACACCACACACACAGAGAGATGTACCATACACAAAGACACATTACACACAGACACGTACACAAAGTAAGACAATCACCACACACACAGAGAGAGACAGACAGACACCAGACACACACAGACACACAGACACACACACACACACACACACACACACACACACACACACACGCACACAGAGAGAAAGAGACAGACAGACAGACAGACAGACACCCCCCCACACACACACACACACAAACATATGAGGCAGCAATCATGGTTGGGAGTAAACACTTTGGGGTCTGAATTCTGGCGGTTAAATAACAACAGAGGCAGCCACTTCCAGAGGGGTCTGGGATCAGCTGACTTCGATTCTTAGCTCAGCTCAGGCCCATCTCATGGGTGGGGTCTGAAGACCAAGCGTGTAGGTTGATTGATCCAGCAGTGCAGCTGCATGTGAAGACTTCAAACCAAACCAAACCTTGTGATTGTGCTTTCTTTACTTGCCAATAAAGCTAAAATGTGTGCTCCACTGACTTGGTGGGCATGACCGTGAGGAGGGGACTCCACGGATGGCTCCTGCTTGGCTGGTGGGTGTCTTCAGCACTCCTGTGCTCCTAACCACTGACAAAGGAGCTACAGTCATTCAGTCACAAGTCAGATGTTCGCTGTGCCGGACATTTGGATGGACCCTGAATAAAGCAGCCAACAGAATAGGTGGGTCTGTCTTTGCATTCCCACACTTCAGCTGAGCCCATTTTTTAAGGTGAATGGATGCCTTGCCTTATGCCAATTGCTTGGAGTTAGGAGAATTACCTGGGTTGTATTTTGTCATGTCAGGAGCTGAGCTTTTTAATCAGTGCATTCATCTCATCTATAGTTTTTCGAAGAACCCTGTTTTATTACCGCATGTTCGCCTGGATTTGAATATATTGCAAATCAAAATCCCATCTTCACCCTTCCCTCATGCCTGCACCTACCCCCAACTAGTTTCTCAAGGAAATGGCAATATGCCTCCCCCGCCCCCCGTTGTGTTAACACAGTGCCCGAGTGGTTAACTCACCTCCATAGTGAGTGACAGTGGCGGGAACGCCGAGGTCCTCCTGTGGAAGGCACCTCAGTGCTTGTCTGAAGGAGTTTAGCAGTCTCTGGGGAATTGCGATAACTTAGGAGCAGGGGATTCTGGGAGGTTTCAGCAAGGACAATGCAGGTCCTTTCCCTTGGGGAAGGAAGAACTACACATTCAGAAAGTGCAGGACTGGCTGGGGGAAAACATGCAACTCCTCCATGCCTTCAAGGTTCTTCCAAATTCTGTTTGCAAGTATCTTTGACAGGCACATCGGCTCCGCCCTGCCCTACACGACAATCAGTGCTGTTCTGCTCGGGAGGTGTGTGTGTACTGGTTTCCCTCGGAAAGCCCACCACCCTGGCTCTACTATTCTTTTTTTTTTTTTTTTAAGATCTGAGAATTTCATACATGTTTTAATTATATTCACCCTTCCTCCACTCTTGCTGAGTCTGTCTCCTTTTCTCTACCCACCCAGATCTGTGTACTTAAAAAAAATATCAAGAAGAATTTGTGCTGTCCAGATATTCTTGGATATGTGGCCTTCCACATATTGGAATATATATATATTCCATATATTCCATAGTTGGGTATGGTCAACTTGCCAGGGGCTACACCATTATAAAAAAAATGACTTTCCCTCTCCAGTGGCTAACGTTCCTTGGCTCTGACATGAAGCCAAATGGCAGAGTCAGAAGTATGTTCTGTAAAGCTAGTAAGAGATGGCTCAGTCACTTAATTACCTGCCAGGGAAGCACCAGGACCCAAGTTCAGATCTTTAGTTCCTCCATAAACAGTCAGGTGTGGAGGTTCATGTCTGGGAAGACATAGATCCCTGGGGCTTGCTGGCCACCAGCTTTGCCTAATGGTTGATCTGGTTCAGATCAATGACGTAGAAAGCAATTGGGAAAAACATCTGATGTTGACCTCTGTCTTCTGCATGGACATTCATGTGTACCTACATAAATGCATACACACATACACACAGACACTAATAATAACAATAATAATAATAATAATAATAATAATGGCATTGTTCACAACTATGCTCTGGCAACTGAAGTCATCTGGGCTTCACCCAGGGACATGAGAACTGGGGTGCTGCAGAAGTGTGTGCTAGAGCTGTCCAAGGTGAACTTGAGGCAGGCTATCTGGGGAAAAAGCAGCCAGACGCTGTCCTAACAACAGCGGCTTCCTAGTGGAACTTTCTCCTACCATATAACAAGAACCATATTTTCAAGTGATCACACAGGCTTTAATACAGTGGATTGGAAAAGCATGTACCACAAGCTGGGTGTCTTGAAGTAAGAGAAATGTGTGGTCATCGTCTAAAATCCTAGGTGTCCGCGATTGCACTGACAGCAGGACTACGGTCCCTCTGGTAGAAGCCTTCAGAACCTCTTCCTGGCTTCTCCGTTGCTAACACACTGCCTGCAGCTCCGTCACCCCAGTCCCTGCCCAGGTCATTGCCAGCCTTCTTCCTGGGTGTCTGCTTCCTCTTCCTGTCACTGATCAGGGCACACCTGGAGGTCTTCATTGTAACTTGATGAAACCTGAACTTTCAAGATCATGTTCACAGGTACCAGGGGTTGGGATTCTGCATCCATATTTAGTATGTCATCCGTTCCCAGCAGAGGGATAAGAAGGGACAGCTGGGGAGAGGGCAGGAGTAGCCACTCCAGAGGGTGCTCCAGGGTCTCTCACAGAAATGTGGGGATCATCAGTCCTGCAGGTTGGTACAGAGGGCTGGGATGAAGATGGACTTGGCTGTGGGGCTGAGCAAGGGGGAGGCAAGGAGAGCGAACAGGTGACTGTGTTTTATTGAATTAGAGTCCTGAAGAAGGGACACTTTGTGAGAAAATGAGCTAAAAGGGTCAATTTTGGCTAATTTGAATCCAAAGTGACTGTGAGGTACAAGAGAAAGTAGAGGTTGCCTGGAGACTTGGCAAATACTTGGCCCTTCCTGTTTGAAGCTATATATATGTTTGGTGTGTGTGTGTGTGTGTGTGTGTGTGTGTGTGTGTGTGTGTGTGTGTGTACACGCGCGCACGAGCCCACATATACAGGCCTGTGCATGCCTAGGCATGCATGTGGATCCAGAGGGTAACTTCTATCAAGCTCGTCCTAGGGGTAAAGAGCAGGTCACTCTTGGCACCTTTGCCTGCTGAGCCATCTCACTGGCCTCCTTAAGCACTTTAAAAAATTAAACAGTAAGGAGCTGATGCATTAAAAACACAAAGCCGTACTTACAGGGTACCATATAACAATTCTATTGTTGTGTGCATAGCAGGACAGTCGAATCAGGATAAACATCCATCACCTCAATCGTTATTTTTCTTTATGGTGAAAACATTCAATAGCCTTTCTTCTAGTGTCAGAGCCTGAAGGTCCTTGCACCTGCAGATCTCCAGGGAACCCAGGAATGCTAAGCACACAGGATTGTCTTTTCAATGGGAAAGATGTAAAACCTGTTCTTCCATCCAGAAAGCTGAGAATTGGAGGTGATTAACAACCTGGTGATCTGCATTGTCTGTTGGGCCAGGCCCTATCAAGCTCCACACCTGGGACTGGAGGTGGCTAGTAATCTAAATGACCCTTACATTATCTGTACAGCCAGGGACTCCCCAAACTCCCACAACCAGGACCAGAGGTGGCTAATAACCCAAATGGCCTCTACACTTCTGTGTTATCAAGACCGTCCCAGACTCTTCCCTAGGCCCTTAAGCTAATACAGGTGGCCTATCTCTGGATCCCATCTTTTTGGAAGAAATGACATGTACCCTGAGTTGAGTTTAGATGTAATTACTCTTCCATGTTCACTGGGGATTGTATTACACAAGGAAACATTTTCTGAATTATATTGTGTTTACATTTACTAGCAATAAACTGCCTGGCATCAGACTCCCTAAAGTTTGATACAGGTTGACGAGACAGAGAGCTAGACAG